TGGCTCAATTTATTTTAAATAGTTCTAGCATCTCTGTATTGAAAAACAATTCTTGGTATCTTAGTAAGTGAGAGGGAGTTCTAAACTAAAAACCAGGATTCAAATTCACTAGTTGGCTGCTTCATGTAGCTTTTTTTCTTCTTTTTTGTTTCTAAATAGTGGATCCTTCTCTTTGTAATTTAGCCTCAGCATCATAGATTGCTCATTTTCTAAAAGATCACAGGATCCCTGCAATATTGCTGTGTGGAAACAAGGTTTACAATGCTAATTGGCAACAACATTCATAAATAAATATCACCAGGAAGGGAGCCCTGTACTATGGAAACCTTGTTTTGCATCAGTAACTCTCCAATTACTAGCTTAATTACTTCACCTATAAACTGAGGAGTTTGGATTAATGATTTCTGAATTCCCTTTTAGTTCTAATGTTTCTTCAAATCAACTTGATGAGATGAAGTGGCTTATCTCACTGGAATCCTTCAACGACAGTGGAGGGCTGGGTGGGGGAGTCTTGTTCTGAAAAGAGCTTCTTGTGCTCCAGGACAAATCCCTTCAGTCCTTCAGCCCAGGACACCCTTGGGAATGACCAGTGAGAGGTGTTTGCTGAGCCTAAGAAGAGCTTTCATATTGAATTCCTTGTTTTAAGGCTGGATATTAGTTAACAAGGTAGGTAAAACCATACCTAGAGAATTTGACTGAGTGAAAGTAAGGGGCTCCAAATCACCATGGGATCTAGGATGAGTCATTTCTCCTCTGAGCCTTGAATTGTGTAAAAGAAGAACACTGGACAGAATGTCTCCTAAAGTCCCTTTCAGCTCTCACATTCTCCTAGTGGTTAAGAATCAGGCTGCGAACCGCAAGATCAGCAGTTCGAAACTACCAGCTGTTCCGCGGGAGAAAGATGAGGCTTTCTGCTCCCGTAAAGATTTACAGTCTTGGAAACCCTGTACAGGGTCGCTGTGAGTTGGAACCAACTCCACGGCACATGATAACAACAACAACAGAGGTTCCAGCTGAGTAGTGGGAAAGAGCCCCTTGTGATGTGACTTTGAGCTCATAAAGTCTCCCAGGGTCTCTATCATGTTATTATTTGATCTTTGTCAGATTTCTCTCATTCGGGCTCTATGTTAGAGTATACAATTCTACCTTGTTAGAATCCATACCATCATTTCACCACCTGATCCATCTTTATTTACATCCTTATCCATCTTTATTCCACAGGTTTTATCTGGAAAGGAACTGAAGGAAGGAGGAAATAATTTTTTTTAGCCAACTGTCTCTCTCTTGGGCAAGGGGGAAAAGAAGTAGAGCGAAATAGTAATAAATACTAGGAAATTTAAGTTAATAAATAAACTCATAAAAATAAATTTGAGTTCACAAATAATAAAACCCACTGCAACTGAGTCACTTCAGACTCCTAGAGTGACCCTATATAGGGTTTCCAAGTCGGTAAATCTTTATGGGAGCAGACAGCCTCATATTTCTCCAGTGGAGCAACTGGTAAGTTTGAACTGCATAGTTTGAGGTCAGTAGCCCAATGCCTAACCCAAAGTGCCACCAGGGATGCTTAGTTAATAATTAACTACAATGTTTTCAGAGCTTCTGCTTTATATACTTTATCTCACATTTAACTCTTTCAGCAACTATGGCAAGTATAATTTATTATTCCTTTTTAAAAAATAAGCAAACTGGTTCATAAGCACACATGGTGTGTGGGCAGTAGAGCCAAGAGGAGGTTGCTTACTGCACGAGTCCTTTTGAACTCTAGGCACCTAAAATCATCCCTTCTGACAATGAATTGAATGAAAAAATGAAAAAAATTATTCCATCACCTACAGTTGGAACCATGCAATCCACCACACTTTACTCCTACAGTCTTTTATTGTTCACTATGGTTTTATGTTGTCTTAAAACACAGAGCCTAAGTCTGTTACTCCTTAAATTCCACAATACCTAAGTGTTTTGTGAACCTCGAAGTTTGTGCTCAATATGAGGGGGCTTAAAAATGTCCATGGAAAAATGGAATTGAGAGATTATGGAATTTTTCTATGAAAACTTGAAGTGTATGTTTGTGAGTGTGGATAGAATCTTGATTGGTGATACAGTTATTGATAAGAAAGAACTAGATTATTCTACAGTTTCCTTTCAGCTTGTGTTGACCTCGTATAATTTAGGTGAGACTCTTCCTCATCTAAAATGTAAAATTGTCAACAAGGTAGATCAGGTATATAATTGACTCCACTGAGTGAAAGCCACACATGCTACTGCTCTGCAATAGAGGTATGTCGTCTATTTCATGAGTTACTTTCCATGAGCTGGGGGCAGAAAAATCCAAACAACCAAATCTACTGTCACTGCTTTGATTCTGACTCATAGCAACCATGTAGTACAGAGAACAGCCCACCATAGCGTTTCCAAGGCCGGCACTCTTATTGGAATCAGATTGCCTCATTTTTCTTCCAGGAAGCAGCTGGTAGGTTCAAACCACTGACTTTAGCAGCCCCATCCTTAATCCACTGTGCCACCAGGGTTCCTTGAACCAGGGATAGAGGGTTCCTGAAATTACTATGTTCTTCAGCAGACATCTTTTGTTCTTTGTATTGTCCAGTGTTACTTAGACATACATTTTTTCAACTCTCACATAAAATGTCAAATGTCTTACATACACACACATATGTCACATCTAAGTCCTTATGTTGAGAAGGTTATTATGAGACACCACATGTTGCATATTTTAAAAAACAAGCAAAATATCTGTTTGGAGTTCTGGTGTGGCACTGCAGGTGAATGCACTGGACCTCAAAGTCAATTTGAACCAAAGGGTCAGCAGTTCAAACTAACAGCAGATCCTCGGATACTCTATACAGGTTCACTATGAGTTGGAATCGACTCGACGCCACATAGCAACAAATAATTTCACTGGATCATTGTAAGAGAATGGAGTAGGTAAATCTCAGAGGAATGTGACTTTTTAATTTTTTTAAATAGAATCTTTTGGTTATAGTTCAATGCTTTGCCACTGCACCACAGAGGCTATTCACACTAAGTGGGGGGAACAGCATATACAAAGAACAGTTTGGAGAATGATACATACTTCGGAATGATTGCAGTATAGGCTCCAGGAAGCCTGATCGTCATTGAAACTGGAAAGATGAACAAAGTCTAGTTTTCATAGGTTTATATATGTCATGATCGATTACTGGTGTGGATAAGCACTGTACTGCTAAACACAAGACTGGTCGTTTTAACTCAGCTGCTCTTTGAAAACATTATACAGGATTGCTATGAGTTGGATCCAACTCTAGGACATTCAACAATAACAACAACATATACCATGATAAACACTTTGGACTTGTTGTTAAGTGCCGTTGAGTTGGTTCTGACCCATAGCGACCTGTATATATAGGGTTTCTGAGGAGTGACTGGAGAGCTTGAACCATTGACCTTGCAGTTCAAATGGCTTTGCAGTCTGGCGCATTAATCCACAGTGCCACACCAGGACTCCTAGGTGATGGAAATCTTCTGATGGATTTCAAGTCTTTCCATGAATTGATTAGGTCTACATTTTAGAAGTATGCCAATAGTAACAGCTCATATTCATTGAGATCTTACTGAGAGCTGAATACTGAGTGCCTTGTTACATTTAACAGAAAGATTACTTAAACCAATTTCTAGAGTTGAGAGCAGAGATAAATGAACCAGAATTTAAGTAACCAGGAAAATCTTCCTAGATAATGGACTTAGTTGTTGTTGTTAAGTGTCATTAGGTTGGTGCCCACTCATAGTGAACATATATAGCATTTTTGAAACTTGTAAATCTTTGTGGGAGCAGAAAGGGGGAAGGCTACCTACCTTATAGTTAGCAGTCCAGTGCTTATCCAACAGAGCCACAGTGCTCCCAATAAACTTAGAAAGGATAGAATTTGGAGAAGATTTGAGGTAGGCATACCAGTAGCGTGAAAAATAAGAAGGAAGCTCTTGTGATGGGAAGCAATTTGTATTTATGAAAAGGTAAGGAGACACCTGAATAGAACAGAGATTATCTCTTGTTTATTGGCTAGCATGGTTAATTACCACTGCCTATTGCCAAAAATGGTTAACAATGACCAGCAAACTGTAAAACAGAAATAGGCAAATGAATGGGCTCCATATATTATATATGAATCATTATTTAATAGTGAGCTATCCCCTGACATATACTTATGCTGTATATAGTGTCTCTATGAGTCAGAATTGACTCAATGACACCTAATGAATGACAGCAATAATATCCTGAACAACTTTCAGATAGCCATTTCATGCTTAGGTGCCAATGTTTCTTCAACATGTTTATAAAAACTCATAAAGCTATGAAATTAGTTAAAGCCACAGGCCCTGAGAGAATTTAGAAACTTACATAGTTCAAGTAAGGAATAAATATCAAAGAGACTTGTTAGAAAGGGAGAAATATCAATGAGAAAGGAATTCCTGAGGGAGAAATGGAGGAAACAAGGGATTCCAGAGTAGAGGATCACTTGAGAATTTCAAAGACAAAAATAATGTGAGAAAACATTGAGAATGAAAGAAATTTTAGTAATTAATATAATATTATTAGTGCTGAAAATGGTGATTCATTTTTTCAATGTGGTATACTTGAAATGACATATGAACTGGGATACAATAATCTGGTTCTAGTCCTGGGTCCATGCCTTACAGGAATAGTTGTATAATTCACAACCTCTTTGAGTCTCATTTATCTTATTTGTAATATGAAGATTATGGAGTTTTTGTAAGGTTATCTGAATAGCATTTGTATAGATTAGGCTATTAAACACCAAATTAATAAAAATATACTATATGACTAAACACATTCAAATATTCATACATAAACCTGTCAGATAATATGTGTGACAAGGCTCTAGAAAAAAACAGGTGTTACAAACATGTGAGATTGGTGTAATGATTGAATTTGTTTTGTTAAAGGGCTTGTATCTGAAATCCATCTTCCCCAAATGGAACCGATGGGCAGTACAAATAACGTGACTGAGCTAATTCTCACTGGCCTTTTCCAGGACCCAGAGGTGCAGAGAGTGTGCTTTGTGATATTTCTTCCCGTGTACCTGGCCACGTTAGTGGGCAATGGTCTCATCGTGTTGACAGTCAGTGTCAGCAAGAGTCTTCATTCCCCCATGTACTTCTTCCTTAGCTACCTGTCCCTGGTGGAGATCAGTTACTCCTCTACTGTTGTCCCTAAATTCATCACTGATTTACTCACCAAGATTAAAACCATCTCCATGGAGGGCTGTCTGGCTCAGATATTCTTCTTCCACTTCTTTGGGGTCACTGAGATTCTTTTACTTGTGATGATGGCTTATGACCGCTATGTGGCCATCTGCAAGCCTCTTCATTATATGAACATTATGAGCCGTCAACTGTGTCATATACTAGTAGCTGGTTCCTGGATGGGGGGCTTTTTACACTCCATAATTCAGATTCTTATCACCATCCAATTGCCCTTCTGTGGCCCCAACATAGTTGACCACTACTTCTGTGACCTTCTGCCATTATTCAAGCTTGCCTGCACTGACACCTTTGTGGAGGGTGTCTCTGTATTGGCCAACAGTGGCTTAATTGCCTTGTGTTCCTTCCTTATCTTGGTATTGTCTTATATTGTCATCCTGGTCAACTTGAGGAACCACTCTGCTGAGGGGAGGCGCAAAGCCCTCTCTACCTGTGCCTCTCACATCACAGTGGTCATCTTGTTCTTTGGGCCTGCTATCTTCCTCTACATGAGGCCCTCTTCCACCTTCACTGAGGATAAGCTGGTGGCTGTGTTCTACACTGTCATCACCCCAATGCTGAACCCCATCATCTACACACTCAGAAATGCAGAGGTGAAAAATGCTATGAGGAGATTGTGGGGTAAGAAGAACTCAAGGGTAGACTGAAAATGGGAAAATGATAATAAAATGTACACCTTATTATTCTATGTTCTTGAAATGGATTTTTATTTTAGTAGGATGTTCAGAATGGCTGAATAAGTGTAAGGACTTAATTTTATTACTGTTATGATTTCCCTTTATAACAAAAAACTGCCTATATCCTGATGTAATATACAAAGGATCAGTCAGATTATTTTTCTTAAGTGTTAGGAAAATTGATAGATTCCATAATATCCACTGATATCATGGGATTGGGTAGTATGAAAATTTAAGCCAAATGAGAAAGAGAACATGTTTTTGTAGGACTAAATTAAAATTTTTTATGCTCATGATCATAGTACATGTTTTATCATTGCCATTATTATTACAATTGTAATTGTAATAATTTTATATATTCTCACTAGACTGTATGTTCTCAATAGCATAACTGTCTCTTCTTCATTTTTGTATGCCTAAATATTGTGCAAATAGTTGGTGCTTTATGAATGCTTGTTGAATAAACAACCCTCTAATGCCTGTGCAAAAATCTTTTCTATATCAATAAATACTTCTTAAATAAATGTTGACTATACAGCCTATCTGAATAAACCCGCTTCTAAGACTGAAACTCAAAGGGAACACCTGAGCAGGCTTGTAAGCTTTCTGGTGACCACTCTCTTCTACTTGTGAGTGGAAGTGGGAAAAATGTAGCAATGAAGACCTGGGCTGAGTTTGGCCATGTTCCATTGACACCTGTTGACCTTGAGATGAAAGAGAGAAGAGGGAGGGCTGGATGGTCTGAAGTTGAGAGACACTTGGGAACACCCAAACCCATGGACACTGACCTAGCCACTGGGGCCTAGAATTAAGAGTGAAATGGCCAGCTCATCTTAAGGGGGAAGAGGTATGTGAGAGCTCCCAAACTTACAGATGGTACCCATTTGACCTAGCTTGGGTGGCTTGCTGATCAGAACTCAACCAGATGAATATAAAGAAGTTTGGTACAGGAGGTAAGTGTAAATTACTGCAATTTGATGAACTGGACCTTTGCTTATGAATGTAGTTGCTCAAAATTCCTACCAAAAGGGAAGGCTTCTTCATATCAAGGATTAAGTTTGCCTCTTCAATATACTGGGTTGATAGAAATGACCACCAAAAATGGAGGACTATAAAGGCACAAAGTGGCTGACTTACAAGCTTTCATGAATGTACTTAGTTTCAGAATGAGGGCGGTAAGGTAGAATCCTCACTGAATAGTTTTCCTCTTGTCTAGATGGGTCTGGTGAAACGGGATGGGGGAGGATGGGGATAGCATTTTTTTGATTCAATAATGAACAATTGTTATCATAACTAATTGTGATTGTCACAACTGTGAATGTAGAAAATGTGAAACTCAAAAGGAGTAGTAGTTAATCTTTCATTCCAGGAATAGAGGATCCTAGGACCATCAAGAGGGAAGAGCAGGAGTGGAGCATGGGATCCTAACCAGAAAAGCAGTGACAGTGGAGACAAAGGCAGAAGCAATGACACAGAGAGCTACAGCAGCTGAGGACTCTAGGCCCAGGGAATGAGAAAGTCTGTGTGCCTGCGAGTAGGAGTCTGGCCTGCAAAGTATGCCCTTTGGACATTTAAACAAATATATATTTTCTGTGTGTTTTTGTGTACATCAAAAAGAAAAGGGAATAGAGGTAAATACTATTAACTAATGGTGCATGGAAGGGATTGTAATTATTGCAATGAAACAAAATGTTATTTGTTGAGTGTTAAATTGCTGATCTCCACTGTAAACACTCAATTCACAATAAAGCTTTAAAAAATGTTGACTATAACATAGTTTCCTTTTCTTTTATGCTGAATATTCTTAAATTTTGTTAATTGTCCAGAGCCAATCTTAGTGGAACTACCCTCTTTTTCTTGCAATGCCTTGTTTGTATTAAGTCAGGTTAGGACTTTAGGATGCATGCTGGGAAGGGAGACCCTTACTCATGTGAAGGATTGGTTTCCTCACTGAGAAATCCTGATAGAACATCATCAGAGTACTATGAACCATTGAACACTGCATGGACATATAATAAATATGTCAAGTTTTTCAAGGATTATCTCACCTTCTGAGACTTGACATTTGGTGGGTCTACAGAGAATTCATCATTCAATTTTGTTCTGATCTCCCTGGAAAAAACATAGGAACCAAAGCATATTAAAAAAAAAAAAATTGTCTCAAGTAATAGAAAACTTTGTGACAATAAAAAATGGCTTCTCAATTCACAGAAGTAGAAACAGCCTAATCCTGCCACTTAATATTGTTAAGACCATGTAGTTAGTCCTCAGTTGTGATTCTGTCACATATATAATGAAATCAAAGACACCTTTTAGAGGATACATATAATATAACCTCTTAGTAGAAAAATTGGTAGAATGCCTTAGACTACTACTTTGAAAATAGTTTTGACTAAATGTAATAGAGAAACAAACAAACACACAAACAAACAAATACAACAACTTAGTGAGTCTGAAGCACAGAAGTGCAGAGCTTTTATGAGGTCTCATAATATTACCAGAAATATAGATTCTACTCTCTTGGCCCGGAGGTTCAACCTCATGACCTGAAAGGACTGCTAATGCTCTACACTTGTGTTCCGCAGAACTTCATGAAAAAACAGAGATGTTCTGTATCTGTGCTATAAAATATGCTAATGACTACTGAACACTTGAAACATGATTAGTATGACTAAAGAAGTGAATTTCAAATGTTATTTAATGAGGAGGTACAAGATCTGAAGAGAAAATTTCAAAGTTTATCTCAAGAAGACAAAGTCAAATATTACAACAAAATGTGAAAAGATCTGGAGTCAGAAAACCAAAAGGTTAGAACACTCTCAGCATTTCTCAAGCTGGGAGAACTGAAGAAAAAATTCAAGCCTCAACTTTCATTATTGAAAGATTCTCTGGCCAAATAATTGAATGATGCAGAAAGCACCCAGAGAAGATGGAAGGAATATACAGAATCACTGTACCAAAAGGAAATGGTTGATGGTCAACCGTTTCAAGAGGTAGCATATGATCAAGAGTCAATGATACTGAAGGAAGAAGTCCAAGGTACACAGAAGGAATTGGCAAAGAACAAGGCACCAGGAATTGATGGAATGAAAATTGTACTCACTCATCTATGCCAAGAAATTTGGAAGATAACTATGAGGCCAATTGATTGGAAGAGATCCATATTTGTGCTCATTCCAAAGAGAGGTGACCCAATAGAATGCAGAAATCATTGGACAATATCTTTGATATCCAGTATGAGTTAAGTTTTACTAAAGGTAATACAAAAATGGCTGCAAGCATACATTGACAGAGAACTTCCAGAGGTTCAAGCTGGATTCAGAAGAGAATGTGGAGTGAGGTCTATCATTGCTCATGTTTGATGGATCTTGGCTGAAAGCAGAGAATGCCAGAAAGATATTTACCTGTGTTTTATTGACTACACAAAGGCTTTAGATTGGATGGATCATGAGAAGTTATGGACAACATTGCTAAGTATGAGTATTTCTGAACACTTAATTGTGCTCATGAGGAATCTGTACCTGGACCAAGAGGCAGTTGTTCGAACAGAACATGGGAACACTGAATGGTTTACATTTAAGAAAGGTGTGCAACAGGGTTGTATTCTTTCACCATACTTACTGAACCTGTAAGCTGAGCAAATAATCCAAGAAGCTGGGTTATATGAAGAAAAACG